CTGATATTTCGCGTTTTTCACCGTACGGTTCGCGTAGCAAACTTGAACAAAAAAAAATTTGTTTGGCCATTCGATGCATGCACGTATTTTTTAAATGTATTAATACCAGAGGCAGTTATACTTACAAAAATTTTTTTTTTTCAATCACCATTGGTGTATGCATTTGAGATGGTTTCATAGTTGCATTGTTGTGTGTGTGTGGTGGATGTGGTGTGTGTCGGGTATGCAACTTCAACCGTCGAAAGGCGCATGCGCATGATTACTATTGTGGGACGCGCTTTCCATCTAACGAAGCTAAAAGATTACGGCAAATGTATGAGCTAGTTTCTATTATATTAAAAACCAACGAATCGAATCGGGATTTAATTATCTATTAAAGTTTCAAACTATGAAATACAAATGCGAAGAAATATTTGTATTTAAAAGTGCTTTGCAATAAAAAGTATATAAAAATGAAGAGGTAAATAAAATCTATGTACATATACATACATATTTAAGCCTAACTATTTATTCACTCTCTTAAATGGATTCGCTTCGGATAGAAGATATACTGGAGTTGTAGAAAATAAACCAGCCGATTGATGCTAATTTTGCATAATAAAAATTTTGAATACGTTGAAAATGATCGCACACATATGTACATACATATGTATTTGCATAGTGGAAAATCTTTACGTCTAATGTAACTCTTCAGCTTAACATGTCATATTTATATACATATGTACGTATGTACATAAAAATGTATGATATATGCACATATGCAAGTATGCCCACATAAAATAATGAAAATTAATTCGTTTTGCTATAAGTTGGTGCAAGAACGAAATGTAGTGCAAAAAACCTATCAAAAGAGTTACACGAAGCGAGCGATTTAGAAAAATCAAAGAGTGTGTATGTACATGCACGCAGACTTATTCATTCTCATACGAGTACTTACACATTTCCATATACATAGATGCGCACTAGACGGTCTAGCATCCGTACATAGTACCTCAGTTGCTATTAAGACTTGGCCGAAGCATTCAAACTCTTGTCTATGGAACTTGGTTGGTAGAGCTGCTTTACTTGATTCGGATCCGCTTTAATAACATTCAATGTGGAAAATTCGAGCAGTAACGTTGCGTCTTCTACTTTCTTAGGCTGCTTTAATTATCATACATACATACATATATGCACATTCACCAACACATAAGAAGCGAAGCGATTGTGTTTTAAAAAGTGATTATTAACTATTTGATCAAGTCTTCATAGATTATCTTGTGAAAACGTCAAATTTACATTTGCATACTTAAGTAAGAAGTTGGGTAAAAGTTAAACGTTAATCTTTACCCCTTATATCTGCAATACATATGTACATATACATATTTACATATGTTCATATAATCAAACTGATGTGTTATTGTGAAAGCTGTCAAGAAAATACATACATACGTATTATTAAAAGTGAAAACGTTAAAAACTCATCCAGCATAGTTGTATCGGAAATACAAAATTATATTTAATTACATACATACATACATAGTTGGCAGAAAAATTGCAAAGAAATTAAAATTATTGAATACACAAAAATTAATATACATATGTATGTGTATGTGTGTGAAGCTATAAATAAAGAAGTCAGAGTGTTTCCATATGAAAACATTAATGAAAGCTATGAATTTTAAATTTGATTGAAAGATTTTAAACTTGGTTTTTTACATACATACATATGTACATCTATCATCGAGTTCCATTTAACTCCTTCGTATTTCTCCATTCGTTTTCGTCGTCACTTGGTTTCTTTCTTCAACTGAACTGCACTCTTTTGCATAGTTTTAATATTGCTTTGACTAAACTTCAAAAAGTGTCTTCATTATTTAACACATCGCACCTTTTCATCTTTCATCCCTCTGCCACTTGTTTGCATGCGACAGTTACTTCTCTACAATCAGTGCTAGAAAGGGCATTTTTGGTAGGATGACAACCAGCTTCACGTCATATCGCCGTAGCAAAGTAAAAAGTAAATCGAACAACGATATTTCTTCTGTAGTAGCCGAGGTGAACGGTGTTAGTGGTGAGCTACATAACTCATCACAACATGTCTCTAACGATGATCTCTCAGATTTAGCCGAAATGATGGATATAAACATTAATAAAGAGGAACAAGTATCGGCTGAGGATGTAGCTGTTGTACGAAAAGAGCACAACAACCGACGTAGTATTGTAAGGTAAGCCACAGGTATCAAAAAATATGTTTAAAATTTAAGATCCTTATCCATGAGATAGATGAATAATAGAACCACGGCATTGCAGTGCTTCAAATAATAGTAGACAACTTTGAGAAGTGGGTTAAAATAACACAAACGGCAATAACGCAAATTCGCTTTACTTCATTTCTCGTTGAGCAATAACACCAACTTTTAAACTTAACAATCTATATTTATAAAAGTGGTATTTATGAACCGATTTCGTAAGCATGATGAAAAAGGCACTTGCGAAAAAGGCACCCGCTAGGTGGTGTTGGAGTCGAGTTATTTATAAAAGCCGTGCTTTTTGAACCTATTTTGTTAATACACATTCGAAACGTTTATTACTTTCATGATGATTTTTTTTCATTCAAAACATATTCAGTTTCATCATGAGTTTCAGCTTCCCTGAACCTGTTCACTTTTCGCTTTTGGTTTCCATGTACTTACTATGGGTGGAATCAAAATTTTCGACTGAATTTTTTTTTTGGGCACAACTCAGGATAAGGAAGATTACATACATAAAATGATAGCCATTTCCGTTTTTCGGACTAAACTCAAAAGCCACTCAATAGAGCCCAGTAAAATTGTCAGAGGTCCTATTATAGGATACCAGAAAACACGCTGGTGGCGCTGGAGTTGAGTTACTTATAAAAGTCGTATTTATTAACAGATTTCGTTCAAATTCGCAGCGTGACTACCTGTATGATGAAAAATTCCTTTGCTAAAAATGGACCCGCTGGAGTTTAGGTATTTAGAAAATCCGTATTTTTTATAAAATCTGTTTGGAATTCATAATTCGTGTTCATTTCATGACAAGCAAAGGTTTTGCAGAAAAGGGACCCAATGGATGACGCTGCACCCGAAATGTATAGAAATCCCCACGTGGTTTGTTCTGCTTTGGCGCTATGTTTATCTTAGGCGAATTTACTTTCAAGGATGCATTTAAGTATGCATATAAAGACCATAACACTGTGTAATCGTGACCTTGCATCTACCTCCGATTGACGAAGTTGCTCGAGGCGGCCGTTATTACATTATTATTGACAAGGAAAGATTCGACCACATCTGTCCAAGAAGCAACACGATAGGTATATCAATGGCTTCATTTGAACGATATTCATGAGAAGATCACACGACTCATTTAGCCAATGTGGGGCAGCGAGGATTCTTGGCCTTCGTATAATTGAAAATGCTCAGCTGTGCTCTTGAGTTTCCATATAAGCACTTTTATTGGCTTACATGGTACACCGGACCAATGCTGAAGTTGCTGGATCATAGAAGAATATTACGCATGCTTGGCAGAGATCTCACAGGTGGAAATAAAACCGTAGGTAAAACGCATTACATCGAAAGGGATTAGCATGCCATATGGAATCACTGCGCTACTTTTCTTGGCATATATGTGACGAGGATTCCGTTTTTTAGTCGTTTCAATTTAAACTAAAAATGTTTACTTTACAGACTCCTTTTGCTTTTAAACGCTATTTTTGAATTGGGCAACGCAAAAGATCTTATTAGGCGCACATTTTTTGTTTAATTGTATTTTTGGAATAAACAAAGTTATTTTTCCTTCTGTCAGTAAACTGTTTTTGTTACAAATAGTATAAATAAGCAATGGGAAATAAGGCAAAATTTGCTTTATTTCCAACCTTTGTTTGAAGTAAAGAAAAACTCCGATTTTGTAATTATTTCCCATTTAAAAGTGAAATAAAGCAAATTTTGGGTTATTGTCGTTTGTGTTATTTTATTATTATTTTTTCGTACTTTCCCATACAAAAAATTGTACCTCTTTCAGGGCGCAGGAGAACATTTAGATAATGTCCCCATAAAATAAGGCAACATTTTCATTGAGATAAGCAAATTCTAGTAGGCATGGCTGTTAGGCGGCAAACAGGTTTCCGCCTTAAGTCTTTTGTTTTTTCATTCACAGCAGAGCAAGAGCAATGCACGCCGGCCAAATTTAGTAAACGTAAATATACGAAATTGTTCAAATACGTATGTATATGTATCAAATGGCAGGTGCATCAGCGTTGATACTTATATATGGTTTCCAGTGAAATCTTGAAATAATTATTGAAGTGTCACTCTGTGGCAACTAAACTTTTATTTACTCATTAATATCTGTATAGTATATTCAACCATCATTTTGCACTTAAGTTTGGAACAAATTGAAAGCGACGGACCATGAGCCACAGCTGTTAAGTTATTTTAACTTGTCGAGGACTTATGCAGATAATTAGTTTGGTGTCAACATGGCTACATAGCGACTGGCCAAAAATGTAGATAC